TTTTCTTATTTGTGATGGAATGCAGAAACGTGTAGGATTCTTGCCAATAACGGAAGGGGAGATTCAATTAGCAGTGAATTCCTAACAAAAGGATCAAAAATAAAATACAATATATTCAATGTATAGTACTAGCTTTTTGCAGTGTGCAATTTACTCTCCAAATTCTAAGCTATTTATTACTCGTGTTTTAGTTATTTTGTATGTAAAGAATGCAACCCTAGTATTACCAGGTGTTGTAGTAGAGAAGCAGTTAGGGACTCATTTTTTATTTCTTTCATTTCTATCTAACTATGAACATATATATTACATAATACTTAAAATTTATTAGCATGTTTTATAAAACGTGAAAACACATTTAAGAAAATAATAACTATTTAAGTACGTCTTTTTGTTTAGTGATTCATAGGGGGGAAAGAAAAGAATTTTGGTATCAATATCAAAATATCAATATTTTGGTATAAAAATAATACTCTATTCGTTTAAAAAAGAATGATCATATTACTATATGGGGGAGTCAAACAAGATTTTATTAGATCATATTTGTTGCATATAGTTTTTGAATATTTTAAATTGTTTACAATTGTGACTTATAATACTTTTTATGTAGTTTTTAAATCTGTAAATTGTATTTAAAATAACTTAAAGAATCTATGCCCGAATTCATACTAAAAATTAGTCAATTTGACCCTTGTACTCTGAAAGGGTTCAAACATATTGAAATAGAGAGAGTACCAATTCTAGCTAATACCTCAACCGATACGGGATACATGCATCTAATCCTAAAATTTGATTGAGAGATACAATATGCCAAAAGCATTCTACAAAATCAATATGTACTAATAAATATAAAAGAAAATCAGTATTGCATGATCAGGAAACGCCATAAAATGAACCCGAAAGTCATGGCTATGCAATAAGTATTTGTCATTAGACCGTTTCCCAAAGACCTACAAAATTTTAGGTAAATTGGAATCAGTCAAAAATTCTATAAAATCAGCATGTACTAATACACACGAAAAAGTAGATGTAATCACAAATTCGTATCGCATGACCCTAAAACGCCAAAAAATAAATATCGGTCATTAGGCCATTTCCTATGGACTTACGAAATTTCAGGCCAATCGGATTCCGTCAAAAAAAAATTCACAGAATTAACTCGTACTAGCTAATACACACGAAAAAGTTGATATAATCATAAATTCATGTTGCATGACCTTGAAATGCCATAAAATCAATGCAAAATTCATGGTGAAATAATAAGTATTGGTCACTAGGCTCTTGCGTATGGACCTATGAAATGTCAGGCCAATCGTAATACATAAAAAAATCTACAAAATCAACATGTACTAATACACACGAAAAACCAGATATAAAGACACCTACAAAATTTCGAGCCAATCAAAGTTCATCAAAAAAATTCTACAAAATCAGTATGTACTAATACATACGAAAAAAATGATACAATCATAAATCCGCATTGTGTCGCGCCCCCTTTTTTCTCGCGAAGTCTGGATTTCGACATTCATGGGAAACAACTCATTTCCTTTTGAGAATTAAGTATTTAAATTTGAAGAGTCGCCACCTAACAGATTTAAGGTGCGTTAGGGCACCTAAAGAAAATAACTCATGAAAACGGTTTGCATTACCAGAGATTGGGTAAGGGCTCAAAATAACCTTGAGGGGAAGGTGTTAGGCACCCATCGCGATCCACAACGGTGGGTCCCAACCGAACTCAATTTATGTGAATTAGTCATTTAATAAATACGCAGTCTAAGAACACATATAAAATAGAGAAAATTTGATAGATAAGTAGTCTAAGCACATATGTATGATGAAGAAATTTTAACAAATAAGTAGTCTAAGAACACATATGTAAATAAGACGAGGGAGGTCCTAGGTTTGTTGGCCTATAGGATCACATCTGTACAATACCCGGTGAGCCTTCCTCAACTAGAGGGGTTACGCGTGGCATTGGCGCACAAGTCATTGTCGCGCCCCCATTCCCTCCCCCCTTTTCAACGGAGAGGAGTTTACATGTTTCGACATTCATGGGGTATAATGACTCGTTTCCTTTTGGAAATTGGGTATTTGAAGAGCCGCCACCTAATGATTTAAGGAGCATTAGGACACCTATGGAGTTCATTTACAACTAGGTTTGATAACCAGAGATTGGGTAAGGGCTTGAAATTATCCTAAGGGGAAGGTGTTAGGCATCCCTCAGGATCCACTACTGTGGTTCCTGGCCAGATAGTTCTTTTGTGAATTTGTGCAATTAGCAAGTAAACAAATAAAGGCTCAAGTAAGAGGGGATTTAAGTTAAACACACAAGTGTTTGAAAACAATTATTGAAAGGCAATGTTTTGAAAGAGTTATGAGCTAAACATGCTTGTAAAAAAATAAAGAGGGTCCTAGGTTTATTTATAATATGGACCACCTCAATGCAATACCCGGTATGATACTCCTCAGAAGAGGGGATACACATGGTATTAGCGCACCGGTCATCATATCCATATCTACCCTTCCCACCCCGTTAAGGTATTAAAGTGTGGATTGGTCTCGACCTCTATTGCATGCTATTTCCCGTCTCATTCCTATCAGTCCCGGAGGAATTTAGGACTACTATTCTTATAAGAGAGAGGATTTTAGGGTGACTCCTAGGTTTAAAGGCAAAAAGGCTAGCCGACATACAAAACACATAGGACTGCATTCAGAGTAAAGGTGGCTAACGGGACAGGTTGGAGCGAAACCGGACCGGCCCAGACCGGTTTAAACCGGAACCGGGCCGGCCCGGTTCATAGGGGGACGGGTGGGCTGGGTAGGGAGGTTAGGCCGGGGACGGAGGGGTTTGTTTGGGCAAGGGGTTAACCGGGCCCGGGTAACCCGGTTGGCATAAACAGTGCCATAACCGGTTAACCCGGACCGGTCCAGACCGGTTAAGTGTCAGATTTTTTTTTGTACTTTCCTGCAGCATGGGGCCCACGATCCGTTGGAAAATCAGATTTTTCATCACATATCCGTTGGCCAACGGATTTGTTGCATAAATGGCCATTTTTTTTAAATTTTTTTTGTATTTAATACTTTACAAAATTAACCCTTTTAAAAATCTATAAATACCCCCATCTTCTTCATTTTTTCACTCAAAATTCTTATCTCAATCTCAATTCTCAAATTCTCAATTTCTCAATTTCTCTCTTCCCTTCAATTTGCAAGATTTCATCTAACTAGTAGCAGGAATATTGATTTACTTCAATTCTACTTGCAGAAGCAAAATGAGCCTCGCACAAAGGAATTTTCACCGTTGGGATGGTGGCATGAAAATGGAAAGCACTTTCCTGTTCTTTTCGCTATGGCTCGGGACGTGCTGAATGTGCCAATTTCTACTATTACATCGGAGAGTGCATTTAGCCAAGCAAGATAACAACTTGGAGACACCCGCCACTCATTGGGAAGCAATGCTTTGGAAGTTTTAGTATGTTTCAGAGATTGGATTAGATCGGAACGAAGAAATCAAGGAAAGGAAGATGTTGATAGCCCAGAAGACGAGGAACTTGGAGATATATTAACACATGGAAACCCATCCGAATTTAACACGCCAGAAGAAGGTCAATCGGTTCATATTGATTATGATGAACTTGCTAGAGCGATGCAAAACATTTGAAATTACTACTTTACTAGTTTACTTGTTGAAAAAAATGTAAACATTTCATTTTGTAAGTTTGAAAGTTGAAACTTGAAATTAAGAAATAAAGTAGCACTTGCAATAAGTGCAATTTTTTCCCATCTTACTTGTATTCTTTTAATTAATACAAAGTATTAATATAACTTACAATAGTTATACAAAATTCCAAAAAAAAATTAAAATACACTAAACCCGGCCCGGCCCGGCCCCCTCAACCCGTAACCCTTATGATTCAATTTTTACCCGGATTAACCCAGCTCGCTAAACCCGTTACTGTACCAACCCGGAACCGGCCCGGACCGAAACCCAGACGGGTAAAAAAATGGACTCGGCCCGGCCCGGCCCACCCGTTTAACAGCTTTAATTTAGAGGGAAACATGTAAGCAGTTATAAGGCTCATGTATACCTCCGCAAATGAAGCACATAAATAGCACGACTTAAACACACTTAAGGTCTGAATTATAAGATTTTAAAGCAGAGTTCGAGTCAGAACCAGATTCATTATATAACTTAGAAAAGAAGTCTGAATCAGGCCTGCCTGCTGGTTGTAGCAGTTGGTAATTAACAAAGGCAGTTCCAATTTTATTTAAATAGTTACCTAAGGCTTGTCTAGGCGTAGTAGTAATGTTCTATAATCATGATATCTATACTGATTAAGAGTGCAGTGGAACAGTGGTTAATTTAAACATGCGATTGAGATCATATAGACATGCTTTCTAATGAGATTGATTAACACGAAAAAAGTAGGTTATTTAATCTGATTCAGACAGGCACGAGTCAAACTGATTTTAACTAAACTGGTTTTAGACCCTATAGGCATGATCTCTATTACAACTGATTTAAATCCTATAGGCATGACATCTAATTATTAAAAGCCGACTTTAGTTATATAGGCATGGTATCTAGTTGAACATGAAGTGGAGTAGGCAGGATTTATTTGATCAAAGCGAAGTTCCTATAGGCACGATTTCTATTAAAAGATCATTTAGACATAGTTTCTAATTATGTGAAGCATGCATAATTTTATTAAACCAAAGCAGATCCTATAGGCATGTTCTCTAACAGATCATATCGAAATACACCCTATAGACATATTATCTACCATTCTATTAGCTAAAACATGCATAATCACCCCAATTCTTTTCACTAGCCAGCCCCGATATCGTCTACAAATTATTACAGCCCAAATGATTAAATTACAAAAGAAGTGTAGAAATAAGAAAATTACAACCAAAGGAAAGCCTGATCTTGACTTCCTCTCTGAGTTATGTAATGAACCACTTCAGTGCCAGAATTTCAAAGCCTTTCTCATACCTGGGTATGTCAAAGTTCCCTAAGGACCTCATAGGATCCCGGGCAGTGCTTACACCCAGCTTTGCACAACCAGACAGAAATGAGTGCAGTGTGGAAGGGCCAGCCCTTATGTGTCCAAGTTCAGAGGGAGCTCAAGGGTCCCAAGGAAAGGCTCACACAAGAGGGGCAGAACCTAGGTTCTAGGAATATAGTGGGAGTGCAGAACATAGTTAAAAAAGAGTTTGTTTAAAACTGGACTGACAAGTCCATTTGAAAGTAATCAGTAGTAGAAGTTTTTGAAATCA